GTACCTCAACATGATGTTGGTAATTTAGTCGCCTGTAGTATCATGGTGCTGTGAACGTGTTTCCTTGAGGTCTACTTCTTCAAGCAGTTCATGTCGCTGATTGAGGCCCTGGAGACAGGTGGATTGGTTCAAAAAACAGCTTGGCCCAGGCAGATGCTTCGTGTAGGGCTTGACAGGGCTTGAGTGCAGGTGGTGCGCACAGCGCTCCGTTCCGCGCCTGCATTGCCGACGTTTCCAGAGAGCTTCAGACGGCCGCCTTCGCACAAAAAGAGATCTTTGACAACGTGCAGGCGGGGTGCGAAGAATGAAGGTTTCCTGTTGGAGCTTTTGTCTTTCCGCAAAGAGGGTCCATTGAGGAGTGCAGGCCTTGTCACAGGCGAGTACCACGGTCCACTGTTACCACCTTGTTACGCGAGGCACGCTTCTTGTTATTGAGCTTTGACTACAAAGCTAAGGGTGCTGACCTTGCCGCATATATAGAAGCAGGCACCAAAGTAGGAATGAAGGAGCTTATATATGGGTAGGAAGACGCGTTAGCTGGATTCATGGACCAGGCAGGGTCGGTCTCAAGTCTGTCCAGATCGAGTTTCTTCAACAAACCCCCTTGCCTTCAAAGCGCACCATCAGCTTGATGCCTGAACAAAACAGCCTATCATCGCGAAGCCAACAAGCGTGTGGGCGCCCTGAGCCACATCTGACAAAGCTAAGCGGAATCAAGCCATCACTGAAATTGAAAGTGCAGACGGGTAGTCCAGCGTGTAAAGTAGAGAAGTTCAAGGCACTGATCTTATGAAGCACAAACCTGGCGGATCAAGACACTCCTAGGGCAAGCTCTTAAGCCAAGCTTCAAACCCTTCCTCCTGGCTGAACTGAGGTACTCTACATCCTCTCAAAGGGTTTGGTGGCCCTCAACAGCCGCGTGGGCCACAATGGCGCAGTCTGGGGTGAGGATCAAATTTCTGCAGTGCTTTTGACCAGGCCTTCAGCCCTCGATTGAGACAAACTCGGGTACACACGGCCCCAGAACTTGCGAACCCTGCTAACCCCCTCAACCAGGAGTCCCCACAACCTGTGCTTGCAGGACTTTGTGCTTTCGGACACAAGCCTCATTCGACCAGTTGCTGGTTTTGCCCTCACGTGGCTGGGACCTGGTAGAGATTTTAGGATTCGGGCTAGGGGTCTTATGTCAATGCCTCTTTGAAAGTTTCGTAAGAGGTTCAGGGTGTAGGGTTGCAAAGGGGCTAGAACATGGTCACCAGGGTCATCAGCGTGAGAATGCCTGGCATCCTTTCTGAGCAAGAACCAAATTTAGTCAAATGCTAGTTCAGGACTTGGTAGTTTCCTAAATAGGTAAACCAGATGTAGACCCAAAATGCGACAACCTTGTTATAAGTACCACTCAAAAGGTAACCGTAAGTTTTGGAAACCCAAATCCTTCTATTAACAACTGGACAATCTTGGCTTCCATGCCATTTTCCAGGTTCTTTGCTTCCATTTTCCATGGGATGACACCCATAAATGATCCCGAAATGCCCACTATATAACACTACATACGCCTATATTGTATAATCCCAATGCAGACCTATATAATCACTGCATAACCCTATATAGTCCAATGGAGCCTCTGCTTGGTCTTTCAGGTACATCGAGGTTTTCTTCCTGACTCGCGAGGCCTTCATGGGGGTGATCGAGCGCCGAAGGATCACGTGCCCTCAGCTTGGCCAGGCAAGGCTAAGGGTGTGGGCTTAGGGTTTAGGGCTTGGGGGCCGCTAAGGGTTTGGGAGGCTGTAGCATTCAAAATTGGGTCTCCAGTCACACCATCAGGTTATGCGTGCGTTCTAATTGGGAGTTCCAAGACCCCAAAAACATAGAGGGCAAGGGTGGGGAGGCATGTCAAAACCATGCTTGAGGATCCACGCAGTACAGTTGAGGCAGAGGGTAACGCAGGGGTGCAACGGGAAGGGCTATGCAATATTCAGGGCTTGCTTGCTTGGGGACGACTAAAGGCTGGTGTGGTTCTTGGATTCCGGGCTTGGAGTTCAGGCTTTAAGGACTTAGGGCTCACAAATCTGGCTTGTTCAGGGTCAGAGGGGAAGCGGAACAAGATCGAAGAGCATTAGCATCAAGTTTCAACTTGCCCGCTAAGTAAATGTTCTGAGGGAACTAGCTTTGGCCCTTCCTTGTGGTGTGGCTGGGATATATGTGGCTTAGGTATCACTTCACCTAAGGGGGTTGCTCTACAACCTTAATAAGAGCACTTCAGGACTTTCGGGTTACCCCCGTACACCGTAAGGGAGCTGAACATATGAGCCATAGTCTA